CAGAATCAGAAGTTTATTGACTATCGCCCTACATCCGGGCATGATCAAATACAAATACAAGAAGTAATCCGCAGAGTGATTACCATATACAGTTTGATATACATTATATAATGTCTAGACTAAAGCAGGGAAAGTACATGTACTACTCAATAAAGATCAATATAGGGGTAATTAAAAAAAAAAAAAAAAAAAAAACTGATTCAACTAGAATAGGCTACACTAAACCTTATATTAAACAAACTATTATTTAGGGGGATATGAAAACTGCATCGTCAGTTAATCTAGGTTTTATTCAGCATGGATACATTAATCCACTATATATGCTGTAGTACTAGTAGCAAAATAATATGAAATGGTACATAATACCTACACTTACAGTCAAGTGCCCATTGGTAAGTCTCTGCATCTCTTTTTCACAAAGAAATGCAACATAGTCTTCTTTTTCTTTAGGGGTCCCAGGACGACGCAAGATGGAAGCTGCCTGAGAGACACTGGCAGCAGGGGAAGTGAAGTAATCAGAGTGGTGTCTTTCAGCATCCACAGTTGACAAAACTGCCGCTTGTTTCTTCTTTAAACAAAAACGCCTAAAATATCGACTTATGCGTACACAGTCTTGGTACAGCAGCCTCTCCATTGTGTTTCTGAATGCAAACCATTCACCACTCTTTAGACGAAAGCTCATAATTTTCTAGTAGATAAATTCCGTACAAGTTACTCCATCGTCTTATGTATGCCTTCGTTTCAGCCTCCGTCACACTCTATTTTTACGTAAACCTAATATATCGAGAACGAGATCCATCCGCGGATTGGTCTTGCTTTTTAATGTCAAGGTCAGTCAAGAAGGGCTCATCAATATAATAAGGTTCGTGTTGGTGACTCGACAAGTTGTATGTCATGGCAGTAGAACGCCAGCGAAAGGAAATGACTGATTTTTTTTCTTGCTGTAAATTTACCAGTTACCGGAATCAACAATAAACTACACGTACAAGCTTATTTCACTAAAATTACCATTTCTAACATGCTTAATCTACTATAATACCAGTAGAGGCCTACAACAAAAACGATCTTTCTTGCCACTTTGAAATCGAAAAAAGGTGTAGCGACGTTATCTACGTTACGTACAGATATAGCTACATCCGAATGATCATGAGTTACATGTACACATGCCACTTAAAAATAAAAAAAAGACTCGAAACAAGACACAACAACAACAACAACTTCTTGGCAAGATGTAGTTCAAAACGAATTTAAACAATGAAAATAATTTCGATAGATGTCGAACATTCTGAACCCATTATATGACTTCTGTATCAAAAGAGAATGAACAGGCCCGGTCCCAAGTTCAGTTCCGTTTTTAGATTTGTCCACTTAAAACATTATAAATTCTGTAAATAGCACAAACTTAGAGCATTCTTTTAGGGATATTTGCACCAATACTCGAGAATAAATTAAATCTCTTCGCGTATCATAATTCTTCGAAGCGTTACTCGGATTCGATGTTTTGTAACATCACTCAGTTTCAAACGAATCATATGATTCATTTAAATCAGGGCCGTAGCCTCCGGGGGGGCAGGGGGGTGGGCAGCTGCCCCCCCCCCCCCGGGATTTGAGGTGCAAAAAAAAAATAATAATAATAATCGCAAAGGTTTAAAAAATAATTGCAAATTTGGTATCAATTCTGTGAGAAAATGCACTCATGGCCACTAGACAATCATTCAACAATCTGTTTACAAAGGTGTACTGTTTTTAGCCAACTCAGTTCATGCCAAAAAACTCACCCTCCCTTAGGGAGCTATCCCCCAGGCTGTACTTATGGCAAAATGAACCCACAATTTCTGACTTCTGATTGAGCAATAAATAACAGTTAAAATGCACCAAATGCAGTATTATACATACAGTTTTTAAAAATTTTCCACACCATGGGAGGGGGACAGCCCCTCCCACACCCTGCCCCCTCGGGGGGCTTCGCCCCCTCGTGTCCGCTTACTGCCCCCCTGGCATTTTGCTCAGGCTACGGCCCTGTAAATGCTTATGTGTGTGTGTGTGTGTGTGTGTGTGTGTGTTTGTGAGTGTGTGCAAACCAACATCAAACGTAACTCGCCAGTCACTAGACTGGAACCCCCAGGGAAAGCGGAAAGTTGGAAGACCCAGGCAGACTTTGCGAAGGAGCACAGACACTGAAATGAAGACAGCTGGAATGACATGGGCCGATCTGATCCTCTGTACGATCGATATGCTATCTAATTTTAAAAGAAAAGCAGTGTAATAATTCCCAGTAAAACACTGTTCACATAAAAAACTTTTTATGCAGTTATCAAATAATATGGTATACGTCCCAACGCAAAAGCTCTGATAGAGCTGAGACTTTCAGTATTTTTTTCATTTTGAAAATTGTGGCCTGAAGTAATGTACGTTACCGTAATGTACGTTACCGTAAATTTCGAACTCGAAATATCAAAATACCAAAATAGCTCTGCATGTGGTTTTCTTGGTTTCCTGTGCGAGAACNACAAAAGTACCAAAAAATCCTTCATTTTGCTTAATTCACATGCACATAACTCTGCTTAGGAAAATGCTAGAACCAAAATTTAAACTTTGGGTTAATGCCCAACTTCTATACTTAATGTGTGCCAAATTTCAAATGTCTGTGACAATATGAAGGGGATGAAAAATGATGGGGGCAACTTTTGTCTCATTTTTGAAAATAGCGCCTGAAAAAAATAACAAACATGGTGTTACTAAAACTTGAATAACTTTTGATCTAAATGAGATAGATTAAAATTTTAAATTGATTATTCATACTCAAATGTGTGGCTATCTGTGCACAAAATTTCAAGTCTCTAGCTCACTTAGAAAAATATCATGTGTGCACCCTAAATTGTAGTACGTAGCAAAATAATATGAAATGGTACATAATACCTACACTTACAGTCAAGTGCCCATTGGTAAGTCTCTGCATCTCTTTTTCACAAAGAAATGCAACATAGTCTTCTTTTTCTTTAGGGGTCCCAGGACGACGCAAGATGGAAGCTGCCTGAGAGACACTGGCAGCAGGGGAAGTGAAGTAATCAGAGTGGTGTCTTTCAGCATCCACAGTTGACAAAACTGCCGCTTGTTTCTTCTTTAAACAAAAACGCCTAAAATATCGACTTATGCGTACACAGTCTTGGTACAGCAGCCTCTCCATTGTGTTTCTGAATGCAAACCATTCACCACTCTTTAGACGAAAGCTCATAATTTTCTAGTAGATAAATTCCGTACAAGTTACTCCATCGTCTTATGTATGCCTTCGTTTCAGCCTCCGTCACACTCTATTTTTACGTAAACCTAATATATCGAGAACGAGATCCATCCGCGGATTGGACTTGCTTTTTAATGTCAAGGTCAGTCAAGAAGGGCTCATCAATATAATAAGGTTCGTGTTGGTGACTCGACAAGTTGTATGTCATGGCAGTAGAACGCCAGCGAAAGGAAATGACTGATTTTTTTTTCTTGCTGTAAATTTACCAGTTACCGGAATCAACAATAAACTACACGTACAAGCTTATTTCACTAAAATTACCATTTCTAACATGCTAAATCTACTATAATACCAGTAGGGGCCTACAACAAAAACGATATCTTTCTTGCCACTTTGAAATCGAAAAAAGGTGTAGCGACGTTATCTACGTTACGTACAGATATAGCTACATCCGAATGATCATGAGTTACATGTAGACTACACATGCCACTTAAAAATAAAAAAAAGACTCGAAACAAGACACAACAACAACAACAACAAAACTTCTTGGCAAGATGTAGTTCAAAACGAATGAAACAACGAAAATAATTTCGATAGATGTCGAACATTCTGAACCCATTATATGACTTCTGTATCAAAAGAGAATGAACAGGCCCGGTCCCAAGTTCAGTTCCGTTTTTAGATTTGTCTACTCAAAACATTATACAGTAAATTCTGTAAATAGCACAAACTTAGAGCATTCTTTTCGGGATATTTGCACCAATACTCGAGAATAAATTAAATCTCTTCGCGTATCATAATTCTTCGAAACGTTACTCGGATTCGATGTTTTGTAACATCACTCAGTTTCAAACGAATCATGATTCATTTAAATCAGGGCCGTAGCCTCCGGGGGGCAGGGGGGGCAGCTGCCCCCCCTGGGATTTGAGGTGCAAAAAAAAAAATAATAATAATCGCAAAGGTTTAAAAAATAATTGCAAAGTTGGTATCAATTCTGTGAGAAAATGCACTCATGGCCACTAGACAATCATTCAACAATCTGTTTACAAAGGTGTACTGTTTTTAGCCAACTCAGTTCATGCCAAAAAGCTCACCCTCCCTTAGGGAGCTATCCCCCAGGCTGTACTTATGGCAAAATGAACCCACAATTTCTGACTTCTGATTGAGCAATAAATAACAGTTAAAGTGCACCACAATGCAGTATTATACATACATTTTTAAAATTTTTTCCACACCATGGGAGGGGGGACACCCCCTCCCACACCCTCCCCCCTCGGGGGCTTCGCCCTCTCGTGTCCGCTTACTGCCCCCCCTGGCATTTTGCTCAGGCTACGGCCCTGTAAATGCGTGTGTGTGTGTGTGTGTGTGTTTGTGAGTGTGTGCAAACCAACATCAAACGTAACTCGCCAGTCACTAGACTGGAACCCCCAGGGAAAGCGGAAAGTTGGAAGACCCAGGCAGACTTTGCGAAAGAGCACGGACACTGAAATGAAGACAGCTGGAATGACATGGGCCGATCTGATCCTCTGTACGATCGATATGCTATCTAATTTTAAAAGAAAAGCAGTGTAATAATTCCCAGTAAAACACTGTTCACATAAAAAAACTTTTTATGCAGTTATCAAATAATATGGTATACGTCCCAACGGAACGCAAAAGCTCTGATAGAGCTGAGACTTTCAGTATTTTTTTCATTTTGAAAATTGTGGCCTGAAGTAATGTACGTTACCGTAATATACGTTACCGTATATTTCGAACTCGAAATATAAAAATACCAAAATAGCTCTGCATGTGGTTTTCTTGGTTTCCTGCAATCGGCAATCCTCGGCTCATTCCGCAAGCTCCATACATATTGTCGAGTGCGGAGACATCCGAGACGTTCCGAGTGGGTTTCCTGTGCACACACCTATATTCCGAAGTTTAGCAGACAGTCATTTTCATGCGTCAAGAAGTTTGAAATGATTTGATTGGTAAATAGGCTTACTCTATCTGGAGTATTTTCATGGGAATCATTTTCTATTAAGTGAACAATCTTAGAATCGTAAATAGCTGGTTCTGTAGCTGACAACATTGAAAACATATCGTGTGTAGCTCGATTATCAATATGTATANTTGGTATCAATTCTGTGAGAAAATGCACTCATGGCCACTAGACAATCATTCAACAATCTGTTTACAAAGGTGTACTGTTTTTAGCCAACTCAGTTCATGCCAAAAAACTCACCCTCCCTTAGGGAGCTATCCCCCAGGCTGTACTTATGGCAAAATGAACCCACAATTTCTGACTTCTGATTGAGCAATAAATAACAGTTAAAATGCACCAAATGCAGTATTATACATACAGTTTTTAAAAATTTTCCACACCATGGGAGGGGGACAGCCCCTCCCACACCCTGCCCCCTCGGGGGGCTTCGCCCCCTCGTGTCCGCTTACTGCCCCCCTGGCATTTTGCTCAGGCTACGGCCCTGTAAATGCTTATGTGTGTGTGTGTGTGTGTGTGTGTGTGTGTTTGTGAGTGTGTGCAAACCAACATCAAACGTAACTCGCCAGTCACTAGACTGGAACCCCCAGGGAAAGCGGAAAGTTGGAAGACCCAGGCAGACTTTGCGAAAGAGCACGGACACTGAAATGAAGACAGCTGGAATGACATGGGCCGATCTGATCCTCTGTACGATCGATATGCTATCTAATTTTAAAAGAAAAGCAGTGTAATAATTCCCAGTAAAACACTGTTCACATAAAAAAACTTTTTATGCAGTTATCAAATAATATGGTATACGTCCCAACGGAACGCAAAAGCTCTGATAGAGCTGAGACTTTCAGTATTTTTTTCATTTTGAAAATTGTGGCCTGAAGTAATGTACGTTACCGTAATATACGTTACCGTATATTTCGAACTCGAAATATAAAAATACCAAAATAGCTCTGCATGTGGTTTTCTTGGTTTCCTGCAATCGGCAATCCTCGGCTCATTCCGCAAGCTCCATACATATTGTCGAGTGCGGAGACATCCGAGACGTTCCGAGTGGGTTTCCTGTGCACACACCTATATTCCGAAGTTTAGCAGACAGTCATTTTCATGCGTCAAGAAGTTTGAAATGATTTGATTGGTAAATAGGCTTACTCTATCTGGAGTATTTTCATGGGAATCATTTTCTATTAAGTGAACAATCTTAGAATCGTAAATAGCTGGTTCTGTAGCTGACAACATTGAAAACATATCGTGTGTAGCTCGATTATCAATATGTATACAATTTGTGTAAAAAGTGTAACATTGTATATTAATGTACATGCAGTAACGTACATTACATTTGACGGTACATTTCCATTAATTTTCCATAATTTTGTACATTAAACAGTAGGTTTTAATGAAGTTTCTAATCTAAGGGGCCACTAAAAAATATTTTTATGAGATAATAATACCAGTAAATTCCGTTTCTTTTAAGCAGAATATACCACTAAGCAGAGCAGACATTCAAAAACGGTACCGGGAGAGAAAAAAGGCAGAGCTTGGGGGAAAAATATTTCATGAAAGAGCGTATTTTTAAATTTGTAATTAAACGGGGTTAAAAACAAAAATATTGGTGTCTCTGTTGTTTACGCAATATATATATATATATATATATATATATATATATATATATATATATATATATATATAGTTAGTAATTGGTGTCAGTTTGGTCGGATTGAGAGGCAGACACATGACAGTTGTAAATCCTTTCATTCTTGGATTTTTACAAAGTGTCGTGTAATGAGCGTTACTATTCATAGCATAGTGTAATCATTTGACGCCGTAGCTAGTTGCTACAGCTTTTACTTCTTATGCCTTAGGTTTGACATTGTATTAAAAGGGCATTATACATCGGAATTACACTGCTCAAGCATCTTTTTGTTTAGTTTGTATATGATTTGAATTGCCATAACAATTTGTTGTAACTACATACTTTGAAATGTATTATTAAAAAGTGGGTGATAAAGGGAAAAATATTAAGTGTCTTTATTGTTGAAGCAATGTATATAGTCAGTAATTGGTATTTAAACACAGATTTTTGTGTCAGTTTGGTCGGAATGAGAGGCAGACACATGACAGTTGTCAATCTTTTTACTCTTTCATCTTACAATGTAATGGCGTCATGAAATGGGCGTTACTATTCATACGGCGTAACTTACGTCGGGGTTAGTTTCTGTAGCTTTTACTTCTCATGCCTAAGTTTTAAAATTGTATTAGAGAGGCACTGTGCATTGGAAATACAACATAAAACTTAATAAAAAATGTTGCGTGACAACTAGAAATCTATTGTTACGAGATCACCTCCCTATTTGAAGATGAAAATAAAAATCACATTTCTTTGGGTTGTCTACAAAGTGATATTCTGGGTACCTTTTATCAACATTCAACTGCAAATTGCCCCACATCAAACTTATTATGCTTATGTTATTTCATCTTGTACATTTTCAAGTTGCTGGATTGTTAATTTGTCTCGCTTTGAGTTTTTTTTGTTCATATACCATGACGTAACGTTCATTACGTGTGCAGAAATGGGAAAATTACCATGCCCTATTCACAATCAAATATCTCAGTCTCATCGTTGTGATTGTATGCTGAATCATTTAGAATCGGAATCTGTGGTTCAAATACTATTTGGAAATGTACAATTAGACACGTTTTAAGAATTATTATTTTTTTACTATCGTCAACTTCAAATGTTCATTCTTATTGACCGTACGTGGGTGTGTTACGCTATTAAAATTCCCAAAAGTCACGACGAATTCTGCAACATATTCAATATTCTTAGGACGGTCCGAGCACGTGATACTTTATCTGAACACCTGACGTCACGTGGTATATTTTGTAGTCTAAAAGAAGCACAACGTTATATATCTTGCAGTTGCTGTTGGGTCGGCGTGTTTATCTTTCCACAGCCATAGCACTGTAAGGAGTGTGGAGGCCTCATTCGCACGTGCATGTTATAGGTTGACTGCGAGTTCAAAACTTTTTTTGTTCGGTCTGAATGCTACTTGACGATAGGTGGGTATAAATGCACGTAAGTGGCACTTACTAACTTTGTTTTAATATTTTTATAATTATAAATAATTTTTTTATATCAACACCACCACATTGAGATCTAGAATGATCTATATGCATTTCACTCACTATGGATCGATCGTTTACATAAATGATATTGTCTACATTTTCAAATCAAGGAGGTATACTGTATCAGTATATAGATCTACTGGTATGCTTTATATTGCACTTACTCAATTGCTTTAGAACTGTTTTGATGGAAATTTAAGACCAGGTAAAATTGATAGTTTTGTGAAATTTGTTTTTTTGCGATCTTTTGTTGACAAAAAAATAGAAAAATTAAATCCAAAAAGATTATATTTCTACTTTTTATTATAAAAATTAATGAGGGTATCAAGCAATTTTTTGCTTATTAAACTTCATATACACCTCTTTCCCTTTCTTTTTCTGCTTTTCCTTTCCTGTTAAACATAAAGCTGTTAAGTGTGCAAAAGGAAAAGAAATGCATATATTTTATTTTTGATTTCATTGATTTTACTTCATTGTCATCGACTTAAAAGATAAAGTTAAATGGCAATGTCTGCAGCATAAATAGATAACTAAATTATTAGGTTATCAGTTATTTTTTTATCATTAACAGTGACTCATGGATCAAGGCCGCCATGGCGTGGCCCTGTTTGGCCTGGGGCGTATTGGTGTCGAACATTTCAAGAATATGTTGAGTCATCCAGGATTGTCCTTATTGTGGGTCATAGAGCAAGACATTCAGAGAGCTAAGGACATCCTGATAAAATTCCAGCAGTGCAACTCTACTAAGATAACAACACCAGCAGAAGATGCTCAAGTGTTTGCTGATGAACGGTAGATTAATTAATTATCTCCATCTAAGGGACCGCTCCCATATAACCCTGTCGTACTAGCTGGATCAATCCAACTCCTCGGGGATTCTGGGTAAATTGGATTCAGTTTAAGTGGCTTAAATGTCTGGCATGCCTCCTCGTAACTTAAATTACTTGGGTAAAATCAGGAAAACTTTGTGGTCCATGATGTTGTTCATGTTGCTTATTTGCGAGGGGGTGTGTCAGACAATGAAGCTGATTACATTTTAACAGCATCTTTGCGAGAAACCCCACTGAGATAATTCGAGCCTGCTAGTACAATAAGCTATGGGAATGCAGTCAAAGAGGTTTTGTTTTTTTTTTTTTTTTTTGTGTGTGTGTGTGTGTGTGTGTATGTGTGTGTGTGTGGCATGATGCAAAAGGGAATGGATGGATTTTGATGAAATTTATAGGAAAGGTCACAAAAGGTCCTAAAAATATATTACACTTTCTTGCTAATCCTTTGATTAATTAAGGAATTAATTAAAATTTCAGGTTAGGTCAAAACTGGGCCAAGGAAGAAATAATGAGATTTTGATGATAAACTATTGATTAATTAATTAATTAATTTTTACAGAATAGGTCTTAAATAAGCCAAGGAAAATATTAATAGATTTTGGTGATGATCCATCAATTAATTAATTTTAATTAAAATCAAGAACAGATTTTAATGAAATTTCCAAGATAGATCAAAAATGGGCAAAGGAAAAAATCTTAAGACTTTGGGAGTGATCCTTTAATTGATTAATTAATTATTTAATTAAATTTTCAGGATGGGTTGCAGTTGGGCTAAGGAAGAATGTTGATGATGAATTAATTAACTAATTAATTAGTGAATTATTACTTAAATATTTGTCTTGGCGGAGGTTGCGCTCTCTGAGTGCCACATGCCAAGTCGAGTTATGCTGGCATATGTCTCTGGATAAAAGGAAGCCCCAAGCTTTATGTTGAATATATATCAATTAATTGCTGCAACTTTATTATTATTATTATGAATATTATTAATTTTATTATTATTATTTTTTTTTTGTACTTTGTGTACTTTGTGGTTTTGCCTGTTTCATAAAAGAAGCTATAGTAGGGACATTTTGCTGCTCAGTGCAAACCCAATAGTCTTGAAAATTTTGCAATATGCCTGTCTGACCATTGTTTCAAATGTACAGCATCATTTATATATGAACCAATGCATAGAATATTTTACTAGGCAGCCACACAGTATTTTCCTTTTGGTTATGAGGAATAATATTACTCCAACATGCAATAAATCTCAAAGAATCTTTACTACAAACTCACCTGACTCAATGGCAGCTGCTGCCCATTACTGCTAGGGGTTATTAATTGCTACATGTACTCTTAATGTCTGCTAACAAAATATGTACAGGAAATCAGAAAACACTTCAGTTAAAACAAAGCTCCCCATAGCTCTGTGTATAAATGGTAATCAGTCTGTTGCATATTTTTTCATTGGTTTTCGTAAAACTTTTGACAATGTTTATTGTTCAGCAAAATCTATTGCTGGACTTCTGTAAACTTTGTGAAACAATTCAAACAAAGATCATGCATTTTTTTATTGTAAGAGAAAAGCATCTTGGGAATAATGCCACTAGAAGTTACAACACATCAAAGTGAAGTTATGAACGCTAGATGACATTTATGTCATTTTTGTAGCTTATAAATCTTAAGAGATATACAGACATGCTGAAAACTTTTCAGAATGGCCGGACATTTGGACCGGCAGTAATGAAAAATTTGCCGGACTGAATGGATTTGTGTCACCCTATTCGTTTGAGACAGATACTACCAGTGCGACCAGGTGGCTTACTTTGTTTTGAATGACCGACAGTTTCTGGATATAGACTTTTTTTTAATGTAAAACAAAAGTGCAACTGATTTATATGAATTATAGACCTATATATTGTAGAAAAAAGACAGCTAGTTGACATGTGTTCATTCTGTCCTCGTGGGACAACTGCTTTTTGTTCCTTTTGCAGGTGGTACATAGGTATGAATGAGTGGCTGCCAGTTGGATTTAACCTGTCTGATACATTTTTATAAATGAAACGATATACTTGATATGAAAAAATGTCATTTGATTTACGCATGACAAAATGATCCTTATACTCTTCTCTCATTTTGGCCTTCAAGTACCATGTGTGTTTTACCTTTTCAGAGTCCATGGAATAGTTGTGTGCACCCCATCTTTCACCCATGTGGACATCATTCTTAAAGCAGTCAAGGCTGGTAAGTGCTCAGCAAGTGCATTAACACTTGGACTGGTATAGATTGACATATTTTCAGCGTGACTGGGGCGGAATACAAATGTCCTCATCAGGCCAATTTATTTTAAGTACCCTAGCTTCCTTGTTCAGTTCATGCTTTGTATATGTGCTGCACAAATTCTCCAAAAGAACTTGTGGACATGAACGTCTAGCTTCTCAGGCAATATTATAAAGCATATTTTGTCCTGTTTAAGATGCAAATATTTGTTATTTATTTATGTTTTGTGCTTCCAGGTAAGGCCATTTTTTGTGAAAAGCCTGTCTCGCCAACTCTGGAAGGTGTGATGCAGGTATATACTGAAGCTCAGAAACAAAAGATTCCACTTTTTTGCGGGTTTAACAGGTAATATTTATGTCTGAAGCAAAATTTTTTAAAAAACTTTGATAAATTGCCTTTGATAAAATGCTACTCGCATACAAACAGCCATGTTTTTTAAAGTTGAATTCTTTGGCAGCTTTCACAATATGGCTGACCCACTTGTTGCATATTCCCCGCCAGGAATCTAGTCATGCAGTGTCTATTAATGGATTAGACAGCAAACTTTTAAGTGGGTCGTCATATTTGATCAGCAGGCTATCGGTAGTTAGTTCACTGTTTCACCTTTAAAGTCTTACATACTTGAGCAAGACCTGAGCTGCTTTTTTTCACTACTATATATGCCTGGTCAGTATGAATGTGTTCATGAATATTGATCTTGCTTCCATGGGGAGCGAACAGCTTGTGCTCCTGAATATTTGGCCCACATAATAATCATTCATTTTTTCCAGATTTGTGCTTTATCAATAACTTTTTTTTTTACTCCAAACTTCCCCTTCTATATCCGTATGCTGAGGGACTCTTCCAGAAGAGCAATTGAGTACAATTCCAAATGTGGAAAATGATTTCAATTTACATCTTAATCTTTTTGTTGTTTTTTTTTTAACCTTTTCTAGGCGGTTTGACCAACAAATAAGAAAGATCCATGATTATGCTCAGGATGGCAGAGTTGGAAAGATACATGTTATTAAGATGTGTAGCAGGGACCCGGCAGGGAAAACTGCCACTCCTGAATATTACAAAAACTATGGTATGTGGGTAAAACCGGAGACTTCAAAGTGCAATCCAAATACTTTAACTGTTAAGGACATGTAAATGTTTATAAAATATAAATTGTTTTTAATTATAATAATAATGTTTATTTTTGAGTCTAAAATCCAGATTTGTTCAGTAGACTTTACAGTGAAAAAATAATAGAAAAGGCTAGCAAAAGAAAAGAAAAAAATTATTAAAACACATAAAGAATAAAGATGTTACTAAATCTTCCATTTAAGTCGTGGATAAAAATTATGTTCATTAAATGAGAAAAGATGATGCAACTTCTTTCTTTTAACCCCTAAAACCTCAACTTCTCTCCTCCCTCCCTACTTAAAGGCACTTGCACACACACTCATGCAGGCACATGCACACACACAGACACACACACACTTTATTCTAGCTCTGATTATCTCTGTCAATTTTACTCTTAGGAGGGTTCCCCAATGACTCTGCCGTTCATGACATTGATGTAGTGTGCTGGTTAATGAAAGAACGTCCCATATCCGTGTACGCCGTGGGGCATGCTCACACCTCGGACTACGTGGCCATGGGTGACGTGGACACTCTGGTGATTGTTCTGAACTTCCCGAGTGGTGCGAAGGGAATTATTGACATGAGTAGGAATTCTCCCTATGGGTTTGATCAGAGAATAGAGGTAATTCATTTACTTATTAAGACAATAAAACTTGTCTGTTTCAGGGATGAAATTTTTCTGACTATCAGCGGATTTCTGACTTTGGTGGTGTTGGTGCTTATTACAACAGAAATGAGATTTTTCCAACTATCTGTGAATATACGACTTTTCGGGAGCCAAAAAGTTTAATTCCTGCTGTTTTGATAATGATTGATGTATGGATATAATATGCTATCAAAATTACCAACTAAATGCTAATTGCTCTTTTTAATCATTCAGTCAGAGGTTGTAGGGAATATCAGGGGCGGATTCAGATATATATATATTCTGAGTCTTCCAAATTATCACTGTTGATCTATCCTCCATTTTTGACCGTCTTCCGACAGAAAAATTTGATACCCGTCAATGTAAACTGGAAAATCTGACCGTCTTCTGGAAGACCCAGAAGACAGCATAAATCCGCCCCTGAATATTGAAGCAGTTTTGACATATTTTAAATTATTTGAATGGGGTTGGGAAGGTGGGCATGATATGGTACGTGTCAGACTGGTAGAATGCATTTTAAAAATCTGCCGATGGCCTTATTTTTGGGTCAGCTAAATGGTAGGAATCATGAATTGTATGATGTGAAAAGTTTCTAAGTGTATGCCTTAAATTCTTTACACATGAAGGTAGCGTAAAACTTTGGTAAGCAATGCAATTATTATGAACCATTGCTATAAAACCATCAGTATTGAAATAATTTCTTTTTAATTTCAGAGAAACTTCTTGGAATTATTTTCAATTTGCCTACACAGAAATGTTTTAGTTTGATAATTATGCACTATTTTTTAATGCAATATTAATTTTTATTAAATCTCTTGTAGAATTGCTTGCCTCATGTCGGGTCCCATTTCCTGTCACTGCATGGGCACTATTTTTCATAGTCCCCTTTGCGCTATTTGTTTAATTCATTTGTTTATTTATCAATTTATTTATTTATTTATTCCGGTAGATATTTGGTGAAAAAGGTCTGATTGCTTCAGAGAACCCTCGTCAACTCCAGACAGTCACGATGCTAGCTGATGGCACGCACTTGGACAAACTGAGCTCATTTTTCATGGACAGATATTCCCAAAGCTATGTCAATGAGCTGGAGCATTTTGTACATGTAGCTGTCTTAGATGGTAAGTCAAAGAAATGTACCCAAGAAAAGTACAGTGACATTTAACATGTTGTCAGGTAGGGTGATATAATTAAAATCACAGTACTGAATTTCTCACATATCGTAAGTTCAATCTGATGTCAGAGTACTTTAACTTGTGGCAGTTTTTGATTGTATGCACTACAGGTATAATACCATATTGCTCAGGTTTAATTTTAAAAAAGAACATGTTTGAGATAAATAATTCAAGAATTTATTCTTGATGATGATCTTGTGCACATTTATTTTTTAGATTCCAAGTAAATGAAAAGTCTTCTTGAATTAAGTTTAATATAATTAATTCTGATACCAACACACACACACACACACACACACACACACACACACACACACACATATATAGGCAAGTAAGTCATAGTGACCTGTGCATTATAATTACAGAGGGAGGTCTACAACAAGTGCTCACTTGGCAGAGGGTATCAATGGTAAATTAATTTGCTTGTCTTGTGGTGTCTTTTGAGACTCCACCAGAACAGGTTCAAGTCTTGTGTCTGCAGTAGTTGTAATCTGTGCAAAATTTATTCCAGGTAAGACAGAGGTCGAGGTCAAACCACAGGAAGTAGTGATGGTCAGCAAAATAGCCAAGGCTTGCCAGGAGTCCATAGAGTCTGGTCAAGTGGTCAAACTGAACTTAGACGCGGAATTACAATGCTGGGAGAGGTTGTAGTGGATTGGAGCTGGGATGTGGTTGTTGTACATTACAAGTGATGCCGTTCACCATTGTGTTAGATGAGCTTCAGCCATTGCAGCAGACATGTTCTTTTCTCACCTAATGCAATGGACACTAGGACACTATGAAAATATCCTGTAATGTTGAGACCAGTTTCAACGTTCCTGTACATTGCATTAGGTCCCATATGGACTGTGCAAGTTGAATCCTTAGACTGATTTAATTAAAAGTATTTTGGATGAGATTTAGTTTGATCAGTTTAGATTCTTTGCAAAGCAATTCTTAGTTACCTACCTTTATTTGATCCTTTATTTGTGATTTATACATTTATTTAATAATGTGCAATTTTAAGAATTACTTTTGGGTTATTCAGAGCTGTAACCACATTTGGTTCTTTTTCATTCATATTTGTCAGGGATAGCAAGTAACTTTAGAAGACACTATCAAATTCAGGAAGATATTTGCAACAGCTTGTGTTTCATTTATTGGATATTTTAAGACTTTGTTTATTCTTCATTTTGTTTGTATTAAACAAGTAAATATTAATTTTGATTTTAAAATAAAGTAATTGTATGTATGAATTTATTGTCACAAACCTTTATCAGAATATAAAAGGTTAACATAAAAAATTACCTTTATTATGAAAGGTATTATTTTAATGCTATGGAATAATATTATTCGTAACAAATTGACTAATGTTATAAATATGTGCAGACTGAAATCTAAAGATTTATTTGATTACTCTTGTTACATTGTTATTATTAATAAATTGTTAAATGGTTTACTGAATCTTTGAATAATTTTAATTATTTAAAAATCTCAACATTTCTTTTTCTTTTTACCTATTTCATTGTTATTTATCTATCCGTTTATTTGTTTGGGGGAGACTTCATCAAATACATAAAGGTCTTCTATATTAAAGCTAAATAATCTTAAGTCGGGTGACACGTGAAGTTTCGATGGTAACATTTGGTGGGACGGGCCATGTAAATCTAATATAGTTCATCCAAAGTCTAATAGATGGCAGCATGTGTCATAAGTCCTTTCAAGATTTTTAAGTAAAAATGTAATAGAGGTTAGTATATATATATTTGTCAATATTCTGCATTATAATAATAACTTCAAACAATGTGCATTCGTGTAAGCCCATTGAAATGCCCATAAACAAGAAAAGTAATTTCATTAATATTTTTATGTAGGTCGTGATTGAGTGGAATTTCCACCATTAACCAATCACATTCGTCGCTGAGGTCACATGCTACACGTGGCTTTGTTTTGCCCGCGTAAAGTCAAAAATTGATGAAGCATTGATTGCGGATTTAGATCGATTTATCGACGGTAAGTAAAAGAAATGATTATCATATAACGCAATATATGACTCTTAACTAGTATTGTAAGATTTAGTGATATTAAGGATGAAAAACTGGTAGTTTTAATCGAACTCCGGACATGCTCCTAGGAAATATGTCCGACCACAGTCATGATACAATTTACATTCAAATCAAGCCAGCAAGGTTATTAACAATCAAGAATTGGGAAGGCGCACATGGTTTAGCTCAACGTGCATCTTCTTCGTTTCGTCCGTTTCCCGTTTTAAGCTCATTGTAATCTACAAAATTTGAGAATTTGCCTGACCTCTGATATTTGGGTGTAGCTCTCGACTACTTACTATTTGTAGTCGTTGTTTTATGATTCATTGGACCAAATATAATTTTCTTTGCGTTTTTGTAGTTACATAGTTTTTCTTACTAATATTACACTAAAATGACCCAAAAGTATTTTTATTTTCTGTGTGTAATTGTAAACAGCTTTTCAGAAAAATTTCAATCAAGAGAATTCAATTGCATTTCCCCTTTTCTTTTCGTATTTGTGTAGTAAAGATATCAGGCCTTAGTCAAAATTATTTGTTTTGACATTCCTATAATACATTTGCCTTTCCAAAATAGCTTTTAAATTGGTCTGTCACATTAGTTTTATTATGAACCCCCCCCCTCAAAAAAAATTATTTGGAAAATTGAACCTTGAATAAACTAAAAAAAATTCCAATGGCTATCCTTAATCTAGTCAACAATAAAGTTCAAATGCTGCGAAATAGCCTCAGATTTAACCAGAGTGCCTTGAGCCCTTACTTACAGGTGCAGGAAAGATTTAAACCAAGCTCCGGGCACAGTTGGTGGATGAAGGTCACACATGGGTCTTTATTGGGTCTGCAGGATATTACACCTGTTTTATCAGTAAATACACTCTAAAAAGGTCTTCTCATGTTTCCTGTTCTCTGCCAAGACTAGTAGGATGTCATTGTGTTTCTGGTTATATGTACGCCCTGAGTATCGCGGAGGGCAATGAGAACTGTCTTGTCTGTTGTCTGTATGAAATAGCAGATGAATGCAGATCAGTTTCCAGTGATCTTTGGGGGGGGGGGGTATCGTTTTTAGACTTACTACTAGTATGGATGTGTGTTTGTGTCTTGTGTGAGTCAGCAGTATATATAAAGAGTAGGGAAAAATGCAGGGAGTCAGTTGATAAATTACATTTTAACAATAGTCTCTTTGCTTTCATTATGCTATAATTCAGTATTGAACATGTTTCATATATATATATATATATATATATATATATATATATATATATATATATATATATATATATCACAATGGTGTATTTTAAGGATTTTGGTGTTTGTACATTATAAGTCCTGTGGCATTATACAGACTGGACATTGCATAGATGAAGAGCATTACAACAAGTAGAGTCAATACATACCCATTACATTGTGTGTTTGCTATTTTGTTTAGCCAGTTTAAATCAGTTGTAGCATTTGGCTAAATAGGCGAGTGTTAGCGCTATGTACCCCAGTGTAATAGTGTGCTTGTGTACATATTTTATCTTGCTGTTATTGTGTTAACTACAGGGTACGCTCAGGAGTGTTTTGTGTCAGACCCCCTTACTTTACTTATTGTGTATGAATAGCTGCAGACAATGAAAATAACATCGTTTTAAGCAATTTAACCTGCGGAGAAAGAGACATGCACAGAGTTCAGAATCGTAATGCACGTTTCTGGTGCATATGTTATTCACATGGCTGAACAGGATGTCAGAAAATTTTTTTAATGTTTTTTGGAGCTGTGGCATGACGTGGATGATTTTGAAAAATTTTAAGTGTCCATGAACATTCAATTACCTGCCCTGCCACCGCT